TGTTATTTCTGTTCACTATGTTGTTGAATTTGGCTTCATTACTGTATTGTTTATCAGTGGTTTTATTGAAAGGTTAATATCTACTTAGGTTACAGTTTTTCTTCACCACCACTTCATATGGGATTCATTCCCAACACCATTTTCTTCCCATTGTAATATGTTGACTAATTCATTTTGTTTTTCTTTACGGTTTATCCTTTCCAATTATTTTCGTTTAATCATTACTTTATAATTATTACCATTAATTTCATTTATTTTATACTTTTATTCTTCGTACTATTAATTTCATTTAGTTTATAATTTATCCTTCTTACCACTAATTAATTTATTGGTTTCCCATAGTTTTATGGACAGGTTCATATCTACCATGATTTCAGATTTTTCTTCAACTCAACATCTTAAAGGATGCATTCCCTACACCAATTTTCTCCCGTTTTTCACTATGTTGACTATTTCATTTTGTTTTTCTTTATAATTTATACTTTTCACAGTTACTTTAGTTTAATCTCTACTTTATACTTCTTACCATTAATTTCATTTCGTTTATAATTTATCCTTTGTACCAGTAATTTAAATTCATGTGTTGGCCCCTGGGACCTGGGGTCTGCCGTTTCTACTTCGAACTATTGCTCACCTTCCCCATATTATTGCTGAATCCATTTACCAACATCGTAAAATTGTTAGTTCTTATTAATAAGTTAGAACTTATTAGGGAATGCCTTCCAAACTTCTATAGCAGTGTCTGCTATAACCTACTTTACACATTTTCAGATACGTTTTGCAGGATATTATCTTCATGTTTTCTGTGCTGTTTCTTTTGTCTCTTGTAGGTTTGGGTACTTACAAGCCTTACTTTCTACAGGCTTTCAATTTTTACCTTAGTTTAACTTCAGCCAGATTTCTTCCGGCATTTGTTATTCTTTTTTTTTCCCCTATCATTGCTCATACCTTTAATGTTTCATGTTTCTCTTTATTCAATGTTTTGTTTACATTTCCGGTTTGAAGAGGGATACCTCCTGTTTCTTCCCTCTGTGTTGGGGTTTTTGCCATCTTCAGTTAATTCCCTTCTCACATGGCATCTTTGCTTTTGGGTTAGTATCGGGTGTGACACTGCTGTTTGTATTCCTTTCCATTATTAATAGGGTTTTATGGTTTGTTCCTTTTCTTCTCTTGTCCATTTTTTTGGGGCATTGCTCCTGTGAGTGGCACCTGTTCATTCTTCCTCTCTTTTTTACTCATTAGTTCTGCTCTTTTGGGCCCCCATGCACAATATTTATATCCTTGCATGCCATGTTCTGTGTGCTCTTGATCAGATTTCAGTTTGTTTTTCTCGTCCCAACACATTCTATCCATTGGAGTGGTCTTTCGATTCTCTTGTTTCCCGGAAGCTTTGTTTTTTGTGTTATTTTCCCCACATAGATCCCTTTACTTCATCTCTTAACTGCCCATTACCTCTATATGGTATCCGGTACCTCCTCCTCTAGCTAGGGCTGTTGATGCCTTCGGCCGGGATTGATCCCACAGGTTACTGTATGTTCATCTCCTATCTTCTTACTTCCATGGGTGATTTCCCTCATCTTTACTGTTCTGTGTTAGGTCTTTCTTATTGCTCCCTAGTGGCCAGCTCAACCGTAGTTTCTGTGACTTCTCCAGCTACAACTTTTATCTCCACTGCCTCTTCCTTTGTCTCCTGCCCTTCTTCATCCACTTTGTTCACTGGTATTCCATCTGGACTTTCACACTGTTCATCTTCATGCTTGGCTGTTATTCAGTCCTTGCCAGGAAGATAGAATTTATGCCTGGAGACAGCTTTCTTTTAGCTTGTTCCATTTGCTCTTCTTCAATGGGCATTTATTGGCATAAATGGAAATTGCTCTGCAGTTAATCTAAGAGTCAGGGATTTCCCACAGATCGAACCTCTGTGTCTCTGGTGGCAGAGTTTCTCCTCTGATTTTTGACCATGGGTCTTCTGGTCCTCCCAATCTTGGGTTATCAGGTAGCTTTGTTTTTCTTCCTGATACCATGGAGTTTTTACCTCACCTATTCTTATTATGTTCATACATTCCTTCTGGATTAGTTGTCCTCCTTAACAGCCTATCATTCCAACCTGGGATATTAATGTGATCTTTTATTCCATCACTTTACCTTCGTTTGCATCACTTTCCTCGTGTTCCATGTTTGACCCTCTCTTCAAACATAATTCCTTCTCCTCTATGCCTGTGTACTTCGGAAGTCAGATTTGTTTCCCATGATGTTTCTTGTACATTTTCCTCCCTTATGTTTGTCTCCCCTTATCTACACTGTATTGCAGTTTATTCCTCGTCTGGTTTTTGTCTAACACCTATGCCAATTTTTTATACTTCGGTGTGACTTTAACTGGGTAAGTTTCTATTCATTATTTCTTTCCTTTCAGGGGGCCCTTGCTTCATTATTCACTATTTGGATCCCACTTCGTGGCGTGCAGTGTTTGACCAGGTATTATTTAATTCTAAATCTGCACTGTACGCCATGTTGGCCAGTGCTTTCTTTTCCATGGCTTCTCATACTCACCTTGTAGATAGGATGTTTTACAAGACTGCTTGTAGGGGAATAACCTTGCAATATTTGCTTCATAAATTGGTGTGTGCCAGAACGTACCATCAATGGACTTTATGGGTAAAACAGAAGAGGATAGATGCCCATCTCTGCCATGCCTTGATTGAATAAATCGGTATGGTCTGCTTTTCATAATAGGGTTTTGTGGTCACCCGTTGCAATTTCTCAGGTGTCGATGTTCCTCCATGGCTCTCCAATGCATTCTCAGCCCCCTCTCTTCTAGTGGAGTATGGGAGTCCTTACCACTTGCCAGTGCCAAGCCACTGGGGTGGTCAACCATGGAGGCACCCTGTTGGATGGGTTTCACATAAGATGACTATAACCATTCAGTCCAGAGTAGGGTGGTGGTGTTCTGCCGGTGTAGATGATGTAATATCCTCCGGTTTGTGATTAACCATACAAGGAGTGAGACATCAAAATGCAGTTCACCCCTTTAGTTGGTAGCTCAATGTCAGTACCCTGCGGGCTGGTTTTGGATTTCAAGTGAACCAATCAACATAAGTCATCATCGCACAGGTTTAGGGTTGTATATCTTCTTCTCTCGACTTCCTTCTTATGTGCTGTGGGTCACAGCAGCGATACGTGGGATTATTTTGGTTTCATCCTTGGCTCTCCCTTGTTCTCTTTTATTTCATGGATGTTTTTGCCCTTTGGAAGGTCCCGACCTGTTTCACCTGGTCACGGGAATTGATTTCATGCGATAGACTTCCTTTTGATAACGGATGTCAAATTCCCGGATTCATAGGTCAGAGCTAATCTTGTGTAACAACCAGGGATCGGAGTGGTTCTCAATTCCCCAGTTCTTGGGTTTGAGGTGAAGACAGTATGATTTTCATCCTACCCTCACACAAATGTTGGTACCCTGCGAGGAGGTTTTGGATGTAGTTGACTTACCAAGTCAATCTTCTATGCCCTAGCCACTCTACACCATGGGATGCATCCTTGTTTACCCACTTTTCTTATTATGGGATTGAGTTACTAGATCTTTCTCTAGTTAGGATTACTTTCCTTTCACATTCTCTCCCACTTGGATGTGCTCCTCTCAATTTCTGCCATGATTTCTTACATATTCCACATATGAGTGAAGAGTATACCTGGATCAGAAGTGGTGCAGTTCTCCTCGTTGGATCTAAATCTCTCTCATCTACAGTGGTATCATTCAGACACTTTTAGGGGGGTATGTCTTTTCTTCCCTCTTACCAGTCCCTCCTCCTAATCAATGTGGGATTCTGGCTAATCTTGTGAGCGGAGGGAAGTACCGTATCGGAAGTTATTATTTTCCTATACCGAACATGTATTTTCGATAGGTTCTACCCATCCTTCCTCCACACTCACTTCTGGTGCTTACTTCATGTGTCAAACTTTGAAGTGCTAGTTTGGTAGAGGCGTATAGAGGGAGTCACATGCATCACATTAGTGTACTATTCTGCTGTTGTTGAAGAAGTGAAGCATGATGGTTTGCATGAGAGACACGTTGGAACCATTTGATTCCAATAAAGGGGGGTGCAGAAGGCTTGTGGCATGTGTAATAAAAAGTTTGCATATAGAGGGCAACAGTGAACGAGAATAGTTAATCTTGTGAGCTGAGGGAAATATCTATTGGAAATACGTGTTCAGTATCAGAAAATTATAACTTCTACTCAAAAATCACTATCATTTACAAAAAATTATACTTGTCCAATATAATCAAAACACAATTAACAGAGTCATAAGTTCATATGCTACTGTAAAACTGTTACTTAAAAAAAATTCAGTTATTCTTCAAGGTACATGCAATCTCAGTAGCATGACTTTTAGTAAAAATAAATGGTATACATGTGATGGAATTTAAATTTTTTATTTATTTTATTATATTCAAGAATTATGTATGTGTAAGATTAATTTTTATATTTGAAAATTGAATTATGTATATATATATATATATTTATAGTGAACAAGTTTTTAAATTTATCTGGATTTTTTATTTTGACCAGACAGTAGGTAAGTCCATTCATAAGTGACAAACAATCAAAAAACAGGTTTTCTCCACATTCCAAAATTTACTGATCTTTCAATACCATCTTAGTTAACTTAATGACAGCCCTTAAAAGTGGATGAAAGTAAGACAATAAAACTTTAACATGTTGAAGTTTATTTTATATTTGTTTGTTACTTATGCATAACATTTATATTCATGCTTTTTATGTCTTATTACTGCCATGTTTATAGTTAAATAGCTCCTTGAGTGCCATCTTTATTTGAAGGTATACAATAAAGAAAACAGTCACATGCTTTAGTATTCTGTTACCTATCTGAAACTGGTAAATTCTGAGAGGTCTAAAGATGAGTACCGTACAAGGTGTTGCAAACAGTTCCTACAAGGAATATTTCATTCTGATTGAATATTCTTTATAAACTTTTTCTAGGCTATTGAAGCTGGAAGAATTTCCATGCAGCAGTTGAAAGTAGCACTACGATTGGGAGAACCTCTTTTAATATGTCGCTGCAGGATCTTTATAGCTATGAGCTTACTACAACTAGGTTATCTCAAGGACACTAAGCACATCATATGGTAGGTTGGAAATTAGACTGTAGTATGATACCTAGTATTGAAATACGTAAACTAGAAATATCATAACTATTCAATATTTTTTGGATAAGTTTTACATAATTATTGATAAACATGGTTATTTTTACATATCATAGCATTATGCCCAAGCTGATATTAATGGTCTCATAAACAAATGAATTTGTTTACAAAAAAAATGTATAACCAAGATTTTTTTTCGACATTGTGTTGTTGTACTCAAAATTACAAGCTTGAATGGAAAGAAATGTTTAACGTTATAATGAAACTGAGCAAGTGCATTACATGTATCTTGTAAAGGCTATTTAATAATACAAACAAAACTGTTTTCTTTTCAAACAAAAATTATTTCACTTTGTAAAGCCTAGTTTTTAAGCATAATTTTGACTACAGTATATAAAATAAATAATAAATAAGTAATGTTTTTTAATAAAAACATTTACAATATAGGATACACTGCTTAACCCTTTGACTTTACAATATAGGATACACTGCTTAACCCCTATCACTTTACAATATAGGATACACTGCTTAACCCTATCACTTTACAATATAGGATACACTGCTTAACCCCTATCACTTTACAATATAGGATACACTGCTTAACCCTATCACTTTACAATATAGGATACACTGCTTAACCCCTATCACTTTACAATATAGGATACACTGCTTAACCCCTATCACTTTACGATATAGGATACACTGCTTAACCCTATGACTTTACAATATATGATACACTGCTTAACCCCTATCACTTTACAATATAGGATACACTGCTTAACCCTATGACTTTACAATATATGATACACTGCTTAACCCCTATGACTTTACAATATATGATACACTGCTTAACCCCTATCACTTTACGATATATGATACACTGCTTAACCCTATCACTTTACAATATAGGATACACTGCTTAACCCCTATCACTTTACAATACAGGATACACTGCTTAACCCCTATCACTTTACGATATAGGATACACTGCTTAACCCTATGACTTTACAATATATGATACACTGCTTAACCCCTATCACCATATGATTTTATTTTTCTTGCTATACTAAGATATTCTATAGTGTACTTCTCTTTTTATTTGTTCTGTGCTAAGAAATAACTGGATTGGATAGGATGTGTAATACACAATGAAGCAATAAAAGTTTGGAGACAGCTTGAATGAGTAATGGAGAAAGCTTTATTAGAAATATATAATGTTTCAACAAGATTATGTCATCATTAGGTACAAGTAGTCTAAATATACACACGAATATATGTACAGTATGGAACAAAGAAGTCACATGACCAAATATTGCTTAACAGCTTAGAAAAGGTATCTTGGTAACCTGGGGTGTGAGTTTAGAGTAGGGCTGTTTTTTCATTTAAGATGGGTTCCTTTATTTTGCACTTATTGATGTTTAGTTTTTTGTTTGAACTTACATTGTGTTTTTGAGTTGCAATGATGGTAAACATGGAAGGTTTTTTTATTATGTTTGGAATTATGCCCATGAATGGTGGTGGCATAGCCAGAGGTTAGGTAGCTTGACTCACAGTCTGAGGGTTGCAGGTTTGAATCCCCATCCCACCAAACATGCTCACTCTTTCAGCCACGAAGGTGTTATAATGTGCTGGTCAATCCCACTATTCGTTGGTAAAAGAGTAGCCCAAGAGTTGGTGGAAGGTGGTGATGATTAGCTGCCTTCCCTCTAGTCTTTCACTGCTAAATTAGGGACGGCTAACGTGGATAGCCCTCATATAGCTTTGCGCGAAATTCAAACAAACAAACTGCCCGTGAATCCAAACAAAAAATCAATATACTAAAAAAACATATAAACACAGCTTCAAGACTTTGCTCAACTGACTACATAGATTTATAAAGCAGTCCTTCAATTCACACTAACAAATTTCCACACAACCACCAAGACGAAACCTCAAAACTCAACTCACAAACAAAATTAACCCTAATACACCAATCAACAACATAATGGTACCCTGAAGTTTACCTTTCACCCATGAAATCAGTTCAAAAATAATCAACACTTGGAGAAACCTTGACATTAAACCTAAAACTCCTGTTGACTTCTGTATAAATGTGGACCATCATGTGGTCATGTAGTCATTTGAAGTTCGACTTAATCCACTTAACAATAGATTTATTTAAAACCCAGGTTTACAATCATGATTAAAGTACACAAGTCACTAACTCGAGGAAGTTTACAGTTAAAATAAAGATTTAACTTGGAGACTGAGATTCAAAACACAAATAACATTTTAATGCAATATATTAAGATACTCGGCTACATTGAATTAACCGAAGGTATCTTGAAATGTTTCACTGTTAAAGATATTAAATTCTTCAATCTGAGCAGGTAACTGTACTTCATTTAAACTTTTTATAATATCCATTAAATAACTTACCGCTATCAATAAGTTATCAATTAACACATTTATTGAAAACTGCTCAGACATAACTTTTATTAATTCTTTAGTATTAAACACTGTATATTCAATTTCTAACTATATATTCGACTCTGAGAGAGATAGTAATAGTTAATTACACAGAGTTTGAGCGTGAAATGTTAGACATCTTCAACATTGTTGTGAGCTTGGACATAGTTGGATCAGGCAGCATCAGTTTTATTCAACCAGCAGCAGGTTGTTTGGCTTCTTCATATGAGCCAGGAGACTGTAAAGATTTCAGTTGATGAATTGGCTGCAGCACCAATGGCTTCTTATTACGAGTCAGGAGACTGACATTTATCCCCAAAACATGAGTTTTTCTATGGATTTCTTTAGTATTCTTATGATTCTGCAAATAGTGTACACAACTAACTCGCAAATAGACCTGTCACTAAATCGTAATTCTTGGAACTAAAACTACTTCAACAATTGGTTATGATCAAAGATGGTAAATTGGTAGCCTGTTTGCTTTATTTCTCCTCATCCTTTTCAGATCAGAGTTCTGCCCAGAATCTCTGATTTCCTTGTTGATTCCTTTTATGGAAGTTTTGTCTAGTCTCTAAGGATATTAATATAAACTTTCTCCTACCTTTCTAGCTGCTGCTGTGGTGTCAGTCTATAGAAAGTGTAAACAGTTGATTCTCAGTACTACTTGGAATGCATCTGAGTTTATATTTGACATATACATTTCCTTTCTGGGTCAAGCATCGTTGTGCAACTCCTCTTATGCATTCATTAAATGTGCCCAACTTTTCTTCATTTTGCATGTATGTATATCATACATGGAATTTTATGAAATTATATTTCTCATTTCTTGAAGGATTTGAATATAGCATAAAATGCCTCAAAATGCTGCAAATGCTTCGCTTCAAATTCACTCAAAAACCCGGCCCTAAATTAAGATAATTACCAAATAAAAATTATATATAATCACACAATAGCAATGCATTTATAAAATATTGTGCAATAACTGACCAGAATTCTACATTGGAGAAACCAGAAGAAAATTGAAAACCAGGTTCACCAAACATAATAAAAAAACTTCCATGTTTACCATCATTGCAACTCAAAAACCCACAGTGTATCTATACAAAACACTGTAATTTTAAACAAACCAAACATCAACAAATGCAAAATAAGGGAAGTTATCTTAATTGAACAAATCAGCCCCATTCTAAACCAACACCCTGGAGTATCAAAATACCTTTACTAAGCTGTTAAACAATTTCCAGTCATGCAACGTTTTTGTTCATGTTGTATACATATTCCTAGGTTTATGTAAACTACTTGTTCCTGATGTTGACATAATCTTGTCAAAACATTGTACATTTATAGTAAAGTTTTCTTCATTACCCATTCAAGCCATCTCTAAACTTTTATTTCTAAAAAGTGGGTTCCTCATCATGTAATTTAAATTCACAATGAAGCAATCTTTATGTAAACAATACAAAGCCACAACATGTGTACAGCACTTTTGTGTGATAGACAGTTGCGTTTTGCTGAAGTAGGATGTTGATCAAATAGGCTGTACTTCATCAAGACTTACTTCCAAGATGATGTTCTATACTGACAATCTTATATTATTTAGTTGTACTGGTAACAGCAGACCTACCAAGAGCATCTAGCACTACTCACATGAGTGATCCTCTCCACTCAAACATAATCTCGAAATATCATCTGACCTACCATTGGAAGATTGCTGTCAAACTTCATAGTTTCGGCTTTATAGCTACATCCCCTTCCCGTGGGCAGACAAGATGTCACCTCCAAGGGATGGCTGGGTACAAAGGAGCTAGTATGAAATGAACTGAAAGACTTTTTTGATCATGTTATGTGAAAACTGTACATACTCCTGAAGAAATGAAATAGTTTGACAAATTCTACATGATATAGGAATATAAAAGGGTGCATGGTATACATCTCTACCATTTATGTACTGTGTATTTCTGTGAGCATTTGTATGAGAGCTGCCATTACTCAAAACGTATATTGTTCTTTTCATCAGCTGTTATTTTGTACTATCTTACTTGATCTCCACTTATCCCTATTTTTACAGTCTCATTTTCTCTTGACATTTCAGCAATTAGTATGTCTGTGTGTCTTATTTTTACTTCTTTACAATTATTGTGACAGTATACTTTATATTCAATTTTAATTGGGTTTGTTCTTACATGTTTGTTTATTTTGACATTTTAAATATGGTTTGCTATTTTAGTATGTGGTTTCAGTTAATTATTTAAGAGAATAAACAATCTTTAGTATATTTGAACCTGTCTATTTCATCTTCCAGTTCAATTTATTGAATTTTTTCCTAAGGACAAGTTACTATATGATTTTATCGTTATGTATTGTGGTTTTTATATTTTATGATATTTCTCCATTGTGTTGTACGATGCTATTTTCTATAGTCAAGAAGATCAGTTTTTTGTCATTGTAGAATTTTTTGTTTCCATTCTGTTACTTTATAAAATAGTTGGTATTAGGAATTACCTTGGAACTTACAAAAATCATATTTTGTGACA